AACAGGGTAGATCATCCCTGAGATGTTATGAGTCAAGATTTAAAAATTAGTTAAAGGTACAGAAAGCTGTCTCACTGACAGATACTGAAAGCAGAAGACATTTGCCTATGATAGCACTGTACAAAATTATTATGGCTTACAGGCCTAGCCCATCATCATAGCCTTTCAGAGAAGTACTTATGACTATTGCATCATATAGTAGCCTCTTCTTTGGTGTTCTAAAACCTGGAGGAAACTGCAGACAGCAACACAACACAACTGCTAAATAAGATGACAACATAAAAAGGTAAACAAGGGATGGAGAGAGTGTATACATCAGGAAACTAGGCTAACTTCATAAATTCCCAGATTTCCTATCAACTTACAAAAAGCACAGAAAAAACTGCTTAACCTCTCTGTACCTCTGTTTTCCCATCTTTGAAATGACAAAGATATCATTAATGCCTACTGCAAGGGCAAGTACAAAGCTTAAAGGTTTTGAGAGTCCTTTGAGGTGGTTGGATGAAACATGCTAAGTGTAAAGTATTTTTAAAGTGCAGTTCTGCTCTGAAAGTGACTATCTGAAAGTGGAAACAATTTCTTGGTTTTACTGGTTTCTAATGAGATGAATATCAAATCTGTTCCATTCATGAAGTAAAAAAAATATTTTACCCCAGGTTGGTCATCCTTAGCTAAGATTATAAAAATGAACACTGGATTTTTTTCCCTTCTCATAAATTATGGCCAATATTCTAATTTACACCTATGCAAATTTAATTTTCTCACTGTTTATATAAATTCCTAACCCTTTTAAAATCCTGCTGAAATTTTAATCTTTATTTCTTGCAACAATGACATCCAGAGACTGTATTCTTTTCAGAAACTTAAAGACAGCTAACCCACTCCCCCCCCACCCAAAAAAAAAATCCCCCAGCAACAAAAACTTTATTGCATTTCATGGAAGTCTACTTGTCCATGTATTACAAGAGAAGGCAAAAAGGATTTAACCTCTCTATTCTCTTTTTCTTTTTTCCCATACTTCTATTGTGCCTCTTTTTATTATGGTTTTGGGTCAAAACCAAGCTGTCCTAATTTTTTCAGTTCAATGTCACAAGGAAGTATTTCCATGACTGAAACATGTTTTCACTTAGGAATTCCATCACAATAAGACTGTCATACAGTTTAATTTAAACAGGAGCTTTTGACCTCTATTTTGTAAAAATCAATCAATCAATCAATCAATCAATCAATCACTGAATTCACAAAAACTAATACAGAACATAAACTAAATACAATGATTTTCTCAGAGTGGTTTGACGAAAAGTAAATTCATACAGAAGGAGCAAGGTTAAAAATCCCCCCATATATAACTAATTGAACTATTTTAGTTTTCTTTAAAAGGGATACAAAAATAAACTAATCTGAGACCTGCTATTTGACCCAATTGTTGTTCTTTTCATGTACCAATTGCTGGAATATTATATATAACACATTAGTAGTGCTTGTCCTTAGAGTTTAAGTCTCTATTGGAAAATATGCATGCCAAGGTGGTCATACCAACATTTAATTTGAGAGAAAATCTGAGGCATGCAAATACAACTTACTTGCTTCAAGCTAAAGCTATAAACTTTACCTTCAAGAGCCCCCATAGTCTAGTGAAAAGTTGCATGAAGTACAGAGGCAAAGACTCAGAGTTCAAAACTAAGTGCTATTGATTTTACTTATGCAATTCACTACTCTCAATGAAGACAGTCATTAGGTGGAGTTCCTGAAAGCACTTCCTCTTTTCTATGCAAGATCACAGTAGGCACAGAACTCAGATCTCTAACATGCCTTTTAATGTATGTACCATAGTACTTCCAGCATTTAAACCAGTTTGTACTTCCACATTGTCAAGGATAAAATCCAGGATTCCAAATGAAAAACACTCTATTATTGCTGTGTAAACAGTTGTGTAACCAAACATGAAATCATGCGTCAAGATCTCTTGATCTCTAAAAAAAAAAAAAAAAAAAAAAGGCTAGCAGATACTTTATGGTTTGAAGGGACCAAGGCTAATTTCAAAAAACTCTAATGGATGTCTATAGGCTGCTTCAAAAGGTGAGGGTTACAGCATTTCTTTCATGTAGAGCTTCCTCAAGCTGACATGCTGACCATGGAGTATTGCTCTTGGTTTACTTACTTTCAGTCGCTTTTAAATGAGGAAACAATGTCACAGAAAAATATTTTCTCAGACATGCTACAGTTTCTCAGTCTTCAGAGTGAGAAGCACCTTCAGAGTTTTCCTCTCTGATTTAGAGACAGGTGGTCTCTGCTCTTTCCCTGATGCTGTGGAAACTATTTTTTAGGTACCAAAGATTTGTTTAACAAATCAGGAATTTGCAAACAAAAATTACATTTAACAGTTAAAGAAGAAACACCATTTACCCAAAACCTTAAAAGGAAAACATATAACTCAGCACTGTCTACAACACTGTTGATGGACACACTTTTATTCTAATACAAAACTTTAACAATAAACTCTATAATAGATATAAAACGCAGAAAGTCACTTAAGTTTTGCACTAGAATGCAAGTCTGACAAAGCCCGGACATTGTTTCTGTGACGTGCTGGAGACCAAAGGAAAAGTTTACAGAATATTGGAGTGTATTACAGGCTACATAAAGGTACAAAGCAATGCATATGTCTTTTTCCCTCGTTTACTCCCATACTTTTTAAGGTATCCAGCAGACGGAACATTTTCTGTCATAACCTTAACTCTCACTTGACAATCATGCTGAACACATTTTTTCTAATTGATCTTGTTAACCTTATGACTACTTATTTTTTTTTTAAGAATCTTTCTGAAAAAAGTCTATCCAAGGATTTATTAAGTCCCAATAAGATGCGTCACCTAGTCAGTTCTCCTACATGCACTGTATTGTAAGCATGCTTAAAAGACTTTAGGTGATTAAACAGACAAGCATTCCTTAAAAAAATCAAGTTCTGTTCCCATCATGAGATCATGTATTTCTAGTTTTAGAATGCCAAGAGCTACCTCCCATATAATTCTTGCTCCCTTATTAGAAGCACAGGTACAGCTCTCCAAAAAGTAGAACTAGCAAATTTTCATGAGACACTGTATATTTTTATTAATCATCCACTATTTCTTACATTCATATACTATGCTGTAGATTTGCTGCTCCTTAATATAGTGATTTCAGAGAAGAACTGCACTTTAAAATAGTAGCAATACTAACAGTGTACTTTAAAAAGAGCATTTCCCACTCCTCAGCAATTAAAAAGACAGATAATGCATGAGAACTTAATAGGTTTCAGGAAATTTCTGAGACATTTTTTCCACGCTTTATGCATCTCACAGAGCTAAGATTGTTTAGCTTACCCACATATCTTTTCATTCTATATGGAATTCAATTCAACTAGAATTTTTTTTTAATCTATCAACAGTTATTGGACTGAAATGATTTGCAAATAAAAATACAAAGAGAAAGAAAGTGGACTAGAGAATACTATTCAAAAGGATTCATACAAAAATGTTTTTGCCAACCTCGTACTGTCAACTTGCTATACAACTGTGAATTCATTTCCTTGTCCCGCTGGTAGCGCCGAAATTCATCAACAGCCTCCCGCGCCACTGTGACAGCCAAAACAAATCCCTGTTAAAAATATAATGATACGACTCATATTTCCCAAAATGAGAAAGATACTTTAATAAAATACAGAAGAGGAACATAACAGTAGAAAAGATAATGTGTGAGGAATGCATTTTGGGGCAGCTGGGAGACTTCTTTTTAAACACTTGCCTTCAATGCAGTTCATCCTTCTTTTAGAAAGGCTACTAATGAAAATGTAAGACAAGGTGAAAACATCCAAAACCGTTTTCATTCCTTGACATATTCCAGTTAAGTATTACCAAATCACATCAATAAAAACGTGTCAGAAGGCAAAACTTTTTGATGTAGTATGTAATTTAGAAAAGATTACTGCCTTTTAAATAAATCTACTAAATTAATCCTCCATGCCATTTTTTGAAAATTATTAGACCTCATAAGAGTATGCCAAGATGCAGTTCTTCACAAAGAAGAAAATGGAGGTAATTTGCTATACATATTTAACTTTAGGACTGTATGTCGCTTCCAATCAGCAAAGAATGTCAGTTTTTGTTTGACCAGTGAGACTGCACAAAGTCAGTTGCAAAAGCAAACAGAAGTCAGTTTCTGACTCTCAAGTTTGGTCTTCTATTGCAGCAAAAAACAATACTGAACTACTCAATGATTAGGACAATTTTCCTGTATTTTAATGTTAACAAGTAAAAATAGCTTAAGAAAAAAATAACCCTTGTTTACTCTTTTTAAGCTACTACTAGAAGTCTCCCTTCAGTAGCATGAACTAGAACAAAAATTACTGAAAGTAGGTCTTTCCTTTAAAAAACAGCTATCTAGAACATTGAAAATAAATCTTCTTGCTTATTAATGGTCTCTCTCCAGAGGAGAGAATGACAGTCTTCACAGTGGAGTATCCTTCATTCCATAGCAACTGGAGGCATACCTGTTTCTAGACTCCAAGCCTGTGATTAGGTCCAACCCTCAAAAAAAATCTCTGCAGAATGAAAGATTCCAAATCTGAATATTAGTATATTTAATATTAAAGGCAAATTAACTAAGGGTGGTGAGAGATGTGAAAAAAACCCACACAAAACAGCACTTTACCAAAAGAGGAAGCACATTTGTTTGACTTGGCTCCACAGGGTCTATATAGATCGGGTGCCTCAGCAGGGCTTTTTGGTGCTTTTATCTAAAGCTGATTCAATCATATATTAGATAAAAGCCCCACTGAAGCACCCAATCTATACAGATGTTGGATGAGCCAGGTCCAAGGCAATGCCTCTTCTGGGCATGTGCTGTGCTCGGTGCGGGGGCGCACGGAGCTTAAAGTAAAATGATGTTTTGTTTTGTTTTGTTTTTCATGCATGTAAGCAGCCTAAGGCTACCTGCAGTCCAAGCAAAAAGAGGTTTAATGATTTCTTGGATGAACACTACTTTTTAAATTTACTTAACAAGGAGGAAAAGAATGTACAGAACTCTGAACAGAGCATAATACTCCACAAGAAAATCAGACTGACGCGAAGGATTCTAGAAAGACTATTCACAGGACTTTTTTCTCACATAGGCCCTCTGTAAGGGACTGTTTTCATATAAAAAGGAATTAAACACCCTGAAAGAAAGGTTCAGTTGAGCTGTGTAGAAATTGGAAAGCCACTTCAGAAAGTGCAACATTCTTTAATACTCATTTACCAATACAATTTGAGAGGATGTATCAATTCTAGAGTGCTTTGACATAAGGATGGACCACCACACAGTAGCTTATAGCCCACAACAAAGAATAATGTACAGAGAAAGAGTTGTACCAGAGGCTTAAATGCTCTTGGTATTTATTTATATATAGATATATATTTTAAAAAAACAAACACTTTTTATCACATTTAGGACTTCTACCTTCTTAGCCTGCTTGGATTCAGACAGGATCATAACAATAACTCTTTTTCTTATAAACAAGATTTTAGTGATCTTGAGAAAGAAGTCTAAATCAGTTTGAAGAACTAAGAGGCCCTGATAACATAGAAACCATGCCAAACTACAATATCCCTCCGACTTGAGGCAGTAACAGGTGAGCCAGATACTTTCACTAAAACAAGGTGGGCTTATGCCAAGCATAAAAGCAAGAAAGGCGATTTCTGACTTAATGCACAGCTCAACAGTATGGCAGAAACAAACATATTACTGGAGGACTGGGGAGAGGCTTAATCCTTCGAAACCTTGTGTGATATTGATTAGAGGTTTTCTGGTTTCTCGTGGTGCAATATTTGCAATCTCTGACCCGTCATCTTTCCAAAATGTTAGTGGTGGGATCCAAGGTCAGAGCACATCACAGAAACTTGAGAATGTTCCTCAACTGATTTTGCTCTGATGCATGGCTTGTACCATCAGCTGCAGGATGTCATTAAAATAAACATGGATTTTATTCTTGAGTATCTCTGAAGGGGTTTTGCATCCCTAAAATACCTGAATGACTGTACTTTCTTCTTATAGCTTTCCAGCTGATAACTTTAGCAGCACTGGATCTTGATACAGGATATCCTTTCTGTATTTCTAACTTGGGAAAAGTTCCTTTTATATCTGAATTAGGCGTGAGAACCAGAGAGTTAATGAAAAGGAGACTATTGTAGCCTATTTCTCTAAAACGTTCTTCACCATCTTCACCTCAATGGTTTTGAGGAAGGAAGGGAGCATAAACGAATCAGCACATCTTACTTCTAGGGTGTCACCTCTTCACACAGTGACTTCAGGTTTCCTAACTGGATCTGGATAGGTACAGATTAACTGGCATGTTTTCCTTTTGTCTTGTAATGCTCTGAAAGGTTGACCAGACCAACCTCCCCCTTCCTGCTGAGTCAACTGACTCTGATCTTTTCATCGCCTTTAAAACTCAAGAGGCAGAATGGAAGTTTCTGCACAGAACATGACCAAGGCTATGTTTCTGAGAAGTGCTTAAGATTGCTTACTAGCTTGTAATGGACTTTATACTCCATCTATTAGTTCAAGAACTGACATACTAATTTTGAACTACATTTTCCACATAGGGGTTTTGAAATGGCCTCACAGTGGTCTGTATTCAATACTTCCAGGATTTAGAGAACAGCATCAACATTTTACATGAATATCAATCTCTTGTCTAAGGAATACATCTTCAGATGGGATGGCTGCATCCTATAAAGAGACTATAGCATTCTCTTAGCAGGGTGATGAAGTCCTTTGACTGTACATGAATTGTATGAATCTAAACACCAAGAAAGAAGTAACCCACCTTGGCCACTTCCTTATAAACCTTAGGGATCTTTCTCAAGTTACCAAACAGATTTGTTTTCCTCTTTATAGATACAGATTCCCTAACCTGTACATTAATTTTGAGAAACATGGATGGCACCTTAAACCAACCCTCAACTTCAGAGAATCTTCATTATATTTAAAGGATCTTTGATGACAGGCATCTGTT